TAATGAGTAGTTTTTTGTTTGAATTTCTCATCAGGGCAGCTTCGAGACATAATTGTCCTCTGAGGCGTTTTAAAATGTTTTAGCACTGACCCTGCTGAGGCAACTCCTTTTGTTTTTTAAATAGTTTAAAATTTCAGTTCACAGTAATCTGAAGGGGGACTGTGGAAAAATTCTATCAGGCCCAGGATTTTTTTGAGTGAGGCTGGTGTGGTGGTACCCACTTCTGGGTCTAACAGCATTACTGGAAGTATCTCTCCTTAAATCTGAGAAAGGTGCTGCAGTAGAGGATGTAGGACAAAATGTAATTTGTTCAAAGGCACCATGATTTTCCTACAGTATTTCAAGGTCCATAGAGAAAAGAGGACTCTGAATGCAGAGGCTCGGCATAAGGATTCAGTTCCCAGCTGCCCTCACAGTCCAAAGCAGACAGGTTTTCTCAAGTATGTAACAGGAAGGATTGTTGTTTCATTGCAGTAGGTCATAGCTGTTGACCTGGAAAACATTTTCTTTTTTTCATTCTATCTCCTAAGCGAACTACAGTTGATCCAGACAAAATATGATCATCCTGGTTGAGGATGGGAACTCAATCTTTCTTTAAGTCTCACTGAGAAAAAATGAACTGAAATGTTAGTGTACTCAAGTGGCCTTTCAGGCCATTATTTTTCTTTTCAGGAGAAGGAAGGTGGCACATACAGGCATTAGGAATAATGACAGATAATCTTCAGTTCTGATTGCAATTTATATGTAAAGTGGGTTATTACTGAGCATATCCACAGACTGAAGAAGGGAGTTGGCATCTAGTCTTAAGTGTTAGCTATAGTTCTTGTTAGTGTTGAATTCAGTGCCAAGAATTGTTATAATTCTTTGTTTTCATTGTGTAACTGCGTACATTGACAGCCGTGACACTTTGCTGCTGCTTGTTGGTCACCGTAACTAAGACAACTTGACATACAGAGTTTGTAGGTAAACACAGTAAAGGCACTGAGAATTTGATCCCTGGGCTTGGTATGTATATTTGTTATTGTAAAAGTTACATGACAGAGAAAGGCAGTGATGTGTGCAGTATTTTAGAGGTTGGTTTTATGATAGATGAGGATTTTCTTAATTGTCATTAGCACTGTATCTGCTGCACTGAGCCATCATTCTCTAGAAATATACCTCTGTTTACTAACAAAGACCTTCTGGTTTTAGTTGTGTTCTTTCAGTCTATGTGATAGCTGCAAAACCTGTGCTTTTTACATGACAAATTGGAATCCAATATTATTGTCACTATTTGAAGGAAATGTTAGGCAGAGAGCATATGCAGACAGACGTGTGATTCTTCTTCCATATCTTTAATGTTCTGAATCAACATGGAATTAATAGAATAGAAAAGTTACCCTTGATGTTTTCTTTGTATTCTCGTTTTTCTATTTGGAAATGGGAGGTCTCAGCTGTTTTCTACTGGATCAGTCTCCTCTGCCAGGCTTTACTTGAGCAGGGCATCTACTGGCAGACACATATTTGTTGAATTTGATATGCCATATTTAATAAACCTTGCTTAGGAAAATACTTCATTACATCACTGTGAAGTAGAAAGAAGAGAATGAGTTTAATGAGTCATAGGAGTGTTATTTCACATCAGTCTTTTGATAAGACAGGCTCTGCAACTTGGATATTCCTCATGAAGTAAACTGAATACAGATYGTCTGTGTTAAACAAAAGGTAGTGGCAAGTAATTTCACCCTTTTTCAGCTATTGAATAATCAGTAATTATTTTTTTGTGTTGGAGTTTAGGTCAGTTTGAAAAATGGAACTATGGGCAGGCTGGATGTTTTCAGCAAATGTTGTAATTCGTTGTATTTCAAACTCTCTTTCCCTGCATACTTTGGGTGTGACTATTTTTTTTCCCTATTGTGATGAAAGGAAGGGTTAAGCCTTTTCTCAGTGTTAGAAAAATAATTGGAGAAACCTTGATGGGCTTCTGTAGGTTTTGGGTCACGTTAATAACAAACTAATGGCCTTGGGTAAGTGGGGCTTCCCAGAAATCTGACTTGCTGCAGAAATTTGCTGGACATTGCTCTTTACCCTGCCCCTCGTGGATCCTGGCCCAGCTGGGCATGATTGGGCACAGCTGGGACCAGTATAAAAGAGGTGCAGAGGTGCAGGTAGGGATCCTGGACTCCCCGAAGCTGTAAAGGAACATGAAGCACAGACAGGTAGGGGTGAAGGGTGTTTTGGGAACCAGAATGTCTGTGGGATGGGTCTGTGAGGAACCTGAACACCCAGTGGGGAAGGGAGGCTGTGTATGACATCTGGGTGTCGGGGCATGGGGTGGATCTGTAGGGGAGCCAGGGAGCTGAGGAACAGGTAGGGGGAGTTCCATAGGGAAAGAGGCTTCTGGGGAGTGCAGAACTGTAGGGGACCCATGCATCCAGGTGAGATCCAGAGATGGCCCAGTTGTGCAGGGATGGGCCCACATGGACTGGGAGGGGATTTGTGTGGGACCCAGGTGTTTGGGAGGGGGAATCTGTAGAAAAATCAAGCATCTGGGGTGGGGTTTTCCAGTGGGTGCCCAGAAGTCCAGATGGCTCTAACCCCACGTTCTGCAGGTATCCATGGCGGGCTGGGTGCTGTGCGTGACGCTGGTGCTGGCAGCACTCACAGGGGCTCAAGGCCAGACCTACCAGAATTTCTTGCAGAGGCATGTGGACAATCCCCGGACAAACCTGGCAGGACAACGCTACTGCAACATCATGATGGCGCGGCGGGGAATGACAAGGCCCGTCTGCAAGCCACTGAACACTTTCGTGCACGCCCCAGGCATGACTGTGGCACGTGCCTGTACTTGGCCGCCCAATGCCCAGGGGTACTACACCACCCCGAACAGGCTGAGTGTGACCATCTGCCGCCTGAGAGGCGGGAACACTCGGCCACCCTGCAACTACCGGGCGGCGCAGCAGTGGCAACACTACGTGGAGGTGGCCTGTCAGGCAGGGCTGCCCGTGCACCTCCAGAATACCTTCCCATAGTGAGGCATTCTCGAGGCCCTGGAATGAGGCCTGGCTTGAGGGGGTGCCAATTGTCTCTCCTGTCAGTGGCTCTGTCAGTGCTGGCAATAAAGGAGTTCTCACAGGCTTTGGCTCCAGCATCAGTTTCTGGGTGGACCATGCGCCCTTACCCCTCTCTGGGTGACTCAGCCTTGTCCAAGTTGGACTTGTCCCCCATGTGCCTTATAAATCCCTGTGTTTTCCCATCCTCCTGTGTGTCCATATCCCGTTAGGGTATCTCTGAGCTCTCCTGTGACTTCTCCCATTTCTTGGGTGCTCCACAACTCCCATGGGTGCCCCATAGCCACCACCAGCCTTGCAGCCCAAGGGCACCCTGATCTCCTGGATGTGCATCCAGGGCTCTCCCCAGTATCCTGACCCTTTGGGTGTCACATTGTTTTCCTGGATGCCCCATAATTCCCAACAGGGTTTCCCAACGTCCTGTGTGCCTCATAATCCCCCCTGTATCCCYCCAAATTCCCCCATATGTGCCCCATAAACTGTCAGGTGTCCCATGCCCCACATGCTTCTGACACCATCCCTGACATCTCTGGAACTGAAGCTGCTCCCCCTTGGAACCCCCATGGGAGTGAGCCCTGGCCGAGACTACAGAKAGCCCTRAAYCACCATCCCMMACACACACMYAATGCMSACACAGCTTTCCTCAAGTCTATGGGGAAATGTTCCTGAWATCTAGKCTGGGAAACTTGATAATAGTAAAATGAGAAAGGAGGTGATGTGATTTTGAACTGAATTTTATTTTTGAATGCATAAGGCTGTGGAGGTTCTTACAGGAATGTGGAGTGGGGCTTAGAGGTACTATAAAAACATTTAATTTGATCTTCTCCCATTCTAGCTCAGTTTAGGCTTTTAAAAAAAAAATAAGTGTCATTAATGTACTAGGGAGATTTTTTGGACACAGAAGACAGTAGTTGTTTGTGAGAAAGAGTAGAGAGTTTTGTGTTTTTTCGTCCGTGCCAGAGAGGACTGTAACAGGGCTTAACTCAGAAGCTAAGACAGCAAGAGAAAGATGAGGAAGAGGCTGTATTTCACAAAATGCCCTCTATTTGGAAAGATTCCCTAATAAATTGCACTGTATGCTGTACGAATGGCTAACATTTGGCAACATTGAAATTAATCTCATTCTGGGGCAGCATACAACAGGTTTTTAATACTCAGCAATATAGTTCTATTTTAAGGCAAATATAAGACTCTCACTGTTCTTGAAGCACAGGGAAATCTCTGGAAGGCAGAATGCAATTTCCTATTTGGATGGCAGAAAGGCTGATCTTCCTCTTCAGGGTGTGCGTGTGTGCACATGTGTGTGAAGGGTTGTGTCAGTTGTAATTACAGCTGCCAAGACTTCAGTAAAATAGTCATGTCTTTGGTGTTAAGTGCCTCAGAAGCAGAAATGCTTGTAACAGCACAGTCTTTTCTAAGACCTTTCTCCTCTGCAATTCAGCATGGGCTTGGTGTGTCATGCTGGGAAGCATCAGCGGAGTTTCCTGCAGCCAGTGGGATTATCCTTTGTCGGTCATCCTGGCAWGGCTGGAATCTGCAAGGTTTGAGATTAAAGGCCATAATAACCTTACATGAGACATGAGGAACTGAGATAACGGAATGCTGCTTTAGATTGGAGAGAGAATCGATCTTTCCATGCTAGGGGTGCTGTAAAGTGTGAAGTAGCATGATGTAATGTCATAGACTGTTGAAATAGCCATTTCTGTTGGTTGTGGTATTTTATTGTAATAGTTCACAGAGGTTTGGTATTGGCAGTTTGCGGGTGAGTGATAGCCTTGTGATAAACATAGGTTTTTATGTTTCATGTGTGTAAACTGGTCCTTTAGGAGAATCAGTGGAAGAGAGTTAGCATTCGAATAATTACGTTGTGTGAAATGATTGCTGCTGAAGTCCTTGAGATCTGAAGAAGCCCTAAAGACTGAAATAGGAAAGTGTAATTTTTAAAGAAAAAGGAGTGGACAATTTGAAGGAAAATTTGAAAAGATGAAAAC